TGAGTTCGAGGCCAGCCTGGGCTACCAAGTGAGTTCCAGGAAAAGGCGCAAAGCTACACAGAGAAACCCTGTCTCGAAAAACCAAAAAAAAAAAAAAAATGTATCTGGCTGAACGTGGATGTCAGCTTTTGTTTCTCTTACTCAAAGTGCTCAGGACAGTTCATCCGATGAGTCCACTGATTCTCCTTCCCTCATAGTCTACACTCAAACCCATCGGCAGCCTCCATTCTTCAGATGCACACCCCATCTGACTCTCAACAGTTTTCATAATTTTGTGTGTGTGTGTGTGTGTGTGTGTGTGTGTGTGTGTGTGTGTGTGTGTGTGGTGTATGTTCACTTGGACATGTGTGCCTGAGCATGTGGAGGTCAGAGGTTGGGGGAGGAACTTGGGCCACCGGGATATGCCCTTGAGGAGACCCTAGGACCCCACCTTACCTTCTCTTTCTCTCTTTGCTTTATGGTGTCATGAAAGAAGCAGCTTTTGCCACGAGACATCATGCTGCCAGAACACAGTGCCACCCCTGAGGGTTCAAACCTCCCAATCAGTTAGCAGAACGAGTCTTTCCTGCGTAGACACTGACTGTCTCCGATGTTTAGGTACTCCCAGTAGTGGAAAGGTGACTAACCGCCCCACACCCACACCCACACCCCTCGCGGAGGCTCCTACCCACAGTAGGACCGGATGGACAATCTCAGGGCATCAGGTGGGGTGGAGCTATAGGGCCAGCGCTCCTCACCGAGTACCGCTCTGGCCGCCAGGTGGCGCTGCAGCCCATTGGCGGGTGTTGCAGGGATGCACCTGTACCTGCAGGTGATCCGGTGATGCCAGCAGGCACAGGATTCCTTGCCTTTCTCTGCTCCCGTAAGCAGGCAAAGTTAGCAACGTAGAATAACCCTTCTCTTTTTGAAGGCGGAAAAAGAAAGGCCAGGAACTCTGGCGTGGCCACCCTGTCAGCGGGCAGCCGTGGGTGGGTCACTTCCGTTCTATGGACATCTAGTACTAGAGTAAAGGGTAAGGACCACTTGGTGACTAACCGCTGCCTCTACGTAATGTTCAACCCAGGGCTTCCATCTTCCATATAGTAATAGTCATGAAGACGTCCCACTCTGCCCTGGGCTGCCGATGCATTGGCCTAGGACGTGGGAAATAGGAGGTATTGGAAGTCAGTTGACATGGTAGGTGTCGCTATCTAACATCAGCACTGTTGGCATTGCCGCCACTGCCGTCTCTTTTCCCTGGAGGGAAGGGGAAGGCTTTTTAGGGAGAAAATAGGTTTATTCCTGGCATAAGAACCAGAGGAATGATAGCAACCCTAGTGGGAAAATGAGCTTGATTCTAGACCACTGTTCCTCAAGATGTTATGTTCTGCCGTGTGCGTAGGGAGGGTGCTGGGATCACGGTACACATGCAGTTCCGGTTTCTCCCACTGGGTGGCGCAGGCCCGGCGCTCTGTCCCGGGATGGTCGAGCTGACCAAGAGGGACCAAGTAAGATGAGCGCTAGGGTGGGCGTTTAGAGTCTCACGAAGAAGGCAAAGGCCTGGCTTTTCTTTGCAGCGACTTTTCTCCTTGGATTCGAGTCTCACAGAACAGGCACAGAGGCCGTGGGCTTGCCCAGGCCTCAGATGGTTAGAAGTGGGCTCAGGAGGGTGGTGGGGTGAGATGCCACAGGAGCTCAGTGGTCAAAGCCAGACCTTAGTTCTTTCAGCCTTTGCTTTCATCCGTGAAGCACTGGTCACTGGTCATCCTGCAGATCCTGGGAGGGGACAGTAAGGAGGCAGGAGGCTCTCTGAGCAGGCCTACTGGAGGAGAGGGCTGTCTTTCCTCTCCCTGGGCACTCCCTCTAGGAGGTCAGATTTCCTAGCCCTCTCTGGTACTCGGGGCTTAATCCTTCCCACGTGACAAGCAGCCATTCTCTGGGTTTTCTTTTGTGCTTGTGAGCAGAGGGACAGTTGAGGTGGGGCCTGTAGAGCAGACAGGACCTCGACATGGGAAGATATACTCGATGGCCCGTGGCTGTCTTTGGAGTTTGTCTCGGAGCACACATCTTTACACGGCTTACTCTCAGAACACCTCCTCTGGGTTCCAAGAACCCGCTTCCAGCCTTTCTGTCTCCAGCCTGAGCCCTGGCAGTTGCCCCAAGCCCCTTATTGCCCATCCCGCCTTGGCCTCTCTGGAAAGCTGTGAGTGATCCTGTCAGGACGCCGTATCTCTATTAGCGCTGAAACCTCCAACAGCTGTGCCCCACTAGGTAAATCCCGCTGTGAGGAACTTCCCCCTGCCCTGCCATTCTCCGAGAACCTCTATCCTGGGACTTCGATGCCTTCTCTTGAATGCAGTTTTGCTCTGAGCCTGAATCTCCCCCAGTTCTCTGAGCCTCAGAAATCCTAGATCTCAGGGCTGTCAATCACTGTTTCTTTAATCCTCATACCCTGTGTGGGATTAGAAGAAGAGATTCTCCCACCCCCCTTGGGTGCTGGTGATGGAAGTGAGGGTCTTCTACACACCAGGAAAGCTACACTAAGCTACAGCCCCAGGCCTTGATTTTTTTTTTAATTAAAAAAAATGCCTAAATATCTTTATTTACTGGCAAAAGTTCACGTGCCCTTGTCTGGAGTTCCCTTTCTCCTGCAGCTGGGCCTTCCTTGTAGAAATGGAAGTCTGGCTGGCGAGGTAGACGCCCAGCTCAGGCACTTTCTTTTCACATGCTGAAAGCAGTGTTGTATCACGGCCCTGATAGCACAGGAGTGATCTTCGGGGAAATGAGTCACCAGCACCGCCCCTGCCGATGACTGTTCTCGCACACCCTGGGGACTGGATGCGCAGCACACCGGGGAATCGTTGCAAGGCGCTAACAATGTGGAGGGCGAACACTTTAGAGACAGAATGCACTAACTAGGCCAGACAGGCCTGTTGTTTTCACGCTTTGAGGGAGAAGTGAGAAACGCCAACCAGCCTCTTTCCCTTCCCGGCAAACACAAGGCCTTGCTCTAAGCCTCCTCTGATTTCATCTCCCTGGACACAGGCTGCCCAGTTGCACAGAGTCGAACCCACACAAAAACTCCTATTCATAGTACGCAGGAGGCGAATGTCCGTGCAGCTCCATGAGGATTGGTGTTCTCTGAGGTGATCATGGGAGGGTCACGATGGAACTCTCTCTACATCTAGAGCCCTCTGGCTGCAGGGTTGGGGCGCAGTTCAACCATACTCCAGAACAGTGTTTTGAAGTTAAATTTGGTGTCGTTTGGCCAGTTTTTAATGGGGCTTCAGGAGAGAGAGAATGCATGGCTGTCTCTGCTTTAGGGTCTTTGGCTTGCTAAAACTGTCCCTGCTAAGGCTGCAGAAACTGCAGAGACCGTGCTCTGTGGCTCCCTCCCCCTCTGAGCCCCTCAGACCCCCACCACAGGACCACACCTCCCTTCACTGACTTCATGTACTGCTAAGCGCCAGCCATATATATACTCAATCGTTGAGCCCTCCTATTGCCCTCAGAGTTCCCGTTTGCAGACGAAGGCCAGGCCAATGGAGGCTTTTATTTGTCACCTCCACACAAGCTAGAGTCATCTGGGAAGAAGGGCTCTCAGCTGAGAAAGTGTCTCTATCAGCGGTCTATGGGCGAGTCTGCGGGAGCATTGATTGTTGATTGATGTGGGATGGCCCCGCCCCGCTGAGGGTGGTGCCACACTGGAGCAGGCGGTCCTGGGCTGTATAATAAAGCAGGCTGAGGAAGCCATGGGGAGGGGGAGCAGCACAATAGGTAGCATTCTTCCATGACTTCTGCTTCAGAATCTGCCCCGATTTCCCTTCACGACTGACTCTGATAGGGACATGTAAGCCAAATAAACACTTGGCTCCACAAGTTGGTTTAGGTCAGTGTTTTATCATAGCAACAGGGAACCAAACTAAGCCAAAAGCTAACAGACAGGCTCCAAGTCACAGTTTCCTGCTGACTGTGGTGTCATTCACCTGGGTGTCCTGGATATCTGAAACATCAAACGTGATGGTGAGTAAACGTGGGTAAACACTGGAAGAGGAGGCCAGGGGGAGCCTGTCTAACTGTGGTGACTCACGGTCCACACCCTCCCCAATCCATCATAGCCTTCAAAGCTGAAAGGCTAGGGCAGGGCTGGGGTGTAGCTCGGTGACAGAGCACATGTTTGACATGTTCAAAGCCTCTGGTTAATCCCAGCACAGAGAGAAAAGAAAGGCCAGGACACCCAAGCCCTGTGGTCCCCACCCTGTCTGCTTTCATTCTGAAGCTGTTTAAGCTACTTATCATTCATGCCTTTCACCAAAGAATAAACCCGCAGGTGGAGTGTAAACAGTGCAGGGCTGTCTGTGGCCTAGAATGCAGGATAGACAAGCAAATAGAAACAGCGACGTGGGGCCTCGGAATTTATCTCCTAAATTACTGCTAGAGAATCTCAGGTTGGTATTTTAGAGACAGAGACAGAAAACTCAAACATGCCCACTCTGGTTTGTCATAACAACAGCGGATGAACAAGGGGACAATTCTGGGCCGCATCTGGAAGAGGAAATGGAGAACGAGAACCTGTATTGTGTAGAAAAACCCAAAGCGACCTGTTTCCTGGACAGTGCTTTGCTTTGGAAATTCCTGAAACATTCATGGTCCTTTACCACGGTATAGAGGGCTCTAAAAACAACTTAGAAACGGGCTGAAGAGATGGCTCATTGGTTAAGGGCATTTGCTGCTCTTGCAGGAGATCTGGATTTGGTCCATAGCACCCACGTGGTGGTCTGAAACTGTCTGTAGTTCCAGTCTCAGGGAATCTGGCTCCCTCGTCTGGCCTCCACAGGCACCAGCATTTATGTGTGCACTCACATGCATGCAAACACTCATATGTATGAAATAAAAACTAAAAGCTTACCTTTTTTTAAAGAAATTTTTAGAAGCCATTAAAAATGGGGATATAGCTCAACTGGTAGAGTGCCCGCCCAGCAGGCAGGAAACCCTGGCTCATTCCCCAGAGCTGTGTAAGCTAGGCATGGTGGCTTGTGATCTCAGGACTCAGGAGGTAGAAGGAAGATGAGGAGTTCAGGATCATCCTGGACTTCACAATGAGTCTAAGGCTAGCCTAGGATACATGAGAACCTATTTCAACCAAGGGCCTAGGAAAATCTTGAGAACTTTGTAAGCATCCTGCCCTTTCCTGTAAGTAACCCTAATCAAACCTCACTGGACCGCTAAGCTGGACTTTGGTGCAACCACCATCCCTGGGGTGAGCAGAAGAAAGTGAACGTGGAGCTGTGTTTCAGCAACTCATCTGGGAAAGTCTCTCCCACAGCACGTACTGGAGGTAAGAACAGGGGTGGCTGTCTCTAGGAACTTGTCTTCAGTTTGAGGGTTGCAAAAATGAAATGCAGAGAAAACTGAGTTCTGCCTAGAGCGGCTTTTCCATGCGAAAACTCGAAGGAAAAAAAATCACAGAAATCCATGACATGACTGATAGATCAAGGAGGTTAAAATGTAACTGATGGATAGCTTATAGTCCATGAAGACTGGGTTCAGGTACCACCTTCTCCAGGGAGGTTCTTAGAGCAGTGCCGGTGTCTGATCCCTTGCCTGCTTCTGGATCCTCTAAAATTGTCACAGTGTAGAGAAGATGCCAGACTCTCAGATCATTCACTCTCCACGGGTCAACTTTTATCACATCGCTCCAGCGCACCATTTGGAGTCAGGGGCAGCATCTTCCTCGAGAAGAATGAAGAGACCCAGTAAGCATTGTTCAGACTTTAGCAGGCAGAATCCTAGTCTCGAGGTAACACTTTCAAAGCCAAGTCCAAGTCTTTCCTGGTAGAACATTCTCTAGGAGTTTGTTCTTTCTAGGCTCCAGCTGAGGTCTGTTTTTCCTGGGTGGACTCCATTGCCAGTGTGCTCATCCTTATCTCCACAGAACAATGGTTTCAGTGGGTTTGAGCTGCTGTAACAGAATACCAAAGGCAGGTACTTTTTAAACATCAGAAAGTTATCCTTATATTTCTGGAGCCTGAAAATCCAGATCTGAGCAGGTTTGGTATCTGGTGAGGCTGTTCTTTTCCAAGATGGTAGCTTGTTGCTGAGTTCTCTGGAAGAGACAAAGGTGGTGTCCTCACACAGCAGAGAGGATGGAACATCGAAAAGAGTCTAGCCTCACTCACTCCCTTAATCCTTTACAAGGGCTCTCATCCCATTTGTGAGGGGAGGGCCCTTACAGCCTAATCATCTCCTGTATTGAGATGTGCTACAGGCTGAGTACCAAGGCCACCCTCCTTTGCCACCACGTTCTAGTGTGGTGTCCTCCAGAAACCACGGGCTCTACACTGGAGCTGGAGTCTCTGGGCTCCCATTCCGCTGTGACATTAAGGACAATGCCAGCAGAGAATGAGGGTTCAAGGGACTCTTCCTAGGCTGAGCTTGCTGGCTACGAGTGGGAAAGGTGAAGGGAGGCCTCCCAGACGAACAAGGAATGTGGCCTTCCAGTGGGTTTCTGGTTGCAGGCCCCAGGAATGTTTGAGGCAGCCTGGTTATGTCTTGGCCAGTTCATCATCCATCAAAGCTCTGTTTAATTTTGATCTTGCTATTGCTGTCCCTTATCTGGAGCCAAGAAACCAGTCATCCAAATAATGAAATGCCTAGTTAAGCTTAAAAACAAAACCAAGGAGACTTCATAAATAAATAAAGTATGGAAAAGCAGTGGAAACTGTAGGTCCTTTAATGAACCCAGACCCTGCTCCAAGATTAAATTAATTTGGACAAGAGAGTGTAAAGCAAAGAGGATGGCGGGAGAGATGCCTAACACTGAGTCAGATGTACTAGCGCTCACACGCATTCTGCACACTGGCCCCGCTCACTGTTCAGTGTTCTCTTGGTTTTAGCTGCTTGCTATAACTTCATTCTCTGAGATCCCACCCTTCTAGGATGGGGTAAATGTGCCTGCTTAGTCTGAATGGCAGTGCCACCAAAGATAAGATTTACCAAGAAAATGCAGAGGATGAACCTGGGAAAGGAGGAAGCTAGTTTTCACCAAGGAACCACTCTTTAAAGGACCTTACCCGAATAATTGCTGGTATGTAAATGCTACGTCAAATTATACATGACTCACAGGTTCTCTGAAGGAGGCTGAGCAGAATTTCTTCCTGGAAATCCGTGGGTAGCAGCTCACATTCCATCACAACCGAGTACTGATGGCTGGTCCTCTGAGGCGACATTCTTCAGGTGTCTGCTCCGCACACCCCTTATTCCAACAGGTGGGTGAAGCATCAGGTGTGAGCGTGATGGCTCTTTCACAGCTGAGCAAAGTTGAGGCCCCCAAACATGCTGCCCGAATCACCCAGCTGAATACCAGGTCAACAAAGTGTATGTTTTACAATAACTCTTGTATGTGTCTGTACGTGTGTTTGTATGTGTGAATGTGGGAGTGCACGGGCCATGCTGTGTGTGGGGGAGTCAGAGGACAACCCGGGCTGCCAGTCTTTGCCTTCCACTCTGTTTAGGACAGGAACTTTCGTTGTTTGCTGTCTGTGTAGATCAGGACAGCTGGTCCATGAGCCTCATAGCTCCACCTCCCATTTCCCCTTAAGAGCACTGGGGTTGCCGATACATGCTGTTTAAATGAAACAGGGAATATGAACTTAGGTCCTCCTGTCTATACAGCAAGTGTTCTACCCACTGAGCCATCTTCCCAACCTACCCTGTGTGTGTGTGTGTGTGTGTGTGTGTGTGTGTGTGTGTGTGTGTGTTAGATTCTGTAACTTTAACAAGTTCAAATCTACTTCCTCTTACGGATGATCTTGGGTTTGGAGAGTTGCTCTTAAATAAAACTACGAAATACTTTTCTATCCAACTAACTATTGTCCTATATTATACAACGAATTGAGGAGAAAAGCTGTGTGGTAGAATATTCAGTCTATGCTTGGGAATCAATTGTCCAAAGAACGTTCTTATTTCCAGATTGTAATACGGTGTTTATTATGCCTGAACAATGACAAAGCCAGTGGAGGATATGTTAAACCCTCGGGGAAGCTATTAGCAAGCTGGCATTCCTAATTCATGTGGAAATACTGCTTTGGTTTATCAGAGGGTTGTAGTGAAGGTGCTCAATTATGAGTGGGATGCTATGAAAGCGCAAGTCCATGACATTTACAATACTGCAGACAGGCAAATGCAAGCCAAAGGAAATCGGTTAAGGTCTAAATGCCGGCCTGTTTTCCCCTTGAATAACCACTGGTACAATGTTCAAGGGACTATGTAAATACGTCATATCCTTTTACAAGATTTTTTAAATGGTAACTTGCCCTGACTAGTAACTATAATAAGGTCCAGAAGTAGCTGAAAAGCACTTCCAACTTTTTTTTTTTGCAATGTCAAGGACAAAACACAGGACTTTGCCCTTACAGAGCTTATTATGCCCCCATGAGCTGCATCCTCAGCCCCCAGCTTGTGACAGTAGCTAAGGAGCTACAGGTTAGAAGGCAAGTCAAGATCTAGTAGCAGCTTTTTACAGATTTTAATTATTATTTTTAATTACGTGTGTGTGTGTGTGTGTGTGTGTGTGTGTGTGTGTGTGTGTGTGTGTGTTTGGTGTCAGATCCCCTGGAGTTACAGAGGGTTGTGAGCTATGTAGGGTACTGGGAACCAAACCGGATCCTCCTCCACAAGAGCAGTATGTGCTCCTAACTGCTGAGCCATCTCTCCAGCCCCCAGGATCCAGGAGCTTTTTAAGCCACAAGTAAAGCTTGACTTGAACTGTCACCTTCTAATCTGTGCAAAAGCATCATAAAAACCAAACAAAGGAAGCAGGCTATGTGAGAACGGAGGCGATACAAGCCGGAAGGACAGTGACTTGGAAATGGTGACTGGGCGGGCACCCACTGTAGGTGACCTTCACCAGGAATCCCGGTCCCCGGTCGTCTACAGGGTCTGATGATCAAAAGCGCACTGTGGAGAGACACAGGGAAGAAGCCAGACTGACTCGAGAACCCCACAGAGAGGAAGAGCAGGCTACATATGGGTGGGTGCCAGCGGAGTTCAGGAGGTGCTCTGGCTGTGGGGAGAGGGAAGACAGCGGCATGGGGGGATATCTTGGGATTTGCAGTTCCTCAGGCATGCAGGGAACAGGTCCTGGTTTGTTGTTGTTGTTGTTGTTGTTTTTTTCAACCCTGCTGGCCATGGCAGTGCTCAGCTGGGGAACAAGCCAGGGCCACTCCCTGGGAATGCTCAGGTTTCAGTTTTGCCCTGACCTCAGAGGCAGCCTCTCCATGGCCTACCTGATAAAGTTACCAAATGTGAAGAGTGACAGATTCCTGGAGGAGGGGAGCGGAAATAATGGCTGATCCTGAAGGCTGACTTTTAAGTCCGGGACCTACTTTCTGGTAACGGCTCTGTAGCAATTGAAGGACACTTGACGCCACAGGGCTTTGTGCACTCGCTCGCGCGCTCGGGACTTTGCTACTGTTTACGGCCGTTTGCAAAGCAGATGGAAACTACTGGATAAAAAGCCGCTCACGTTTTCATCCATTTGGCTTTTGTTTTATGACAACCTTGCTTCGCAGCCCAGGCAGGTGTTGAACTTGAGATTTTCTTACCTCAGTCCCCCAAGCCCTGCGATTACAATGTGTGCCGCTCTGCTTGGCTCATCTCGTTGCTTTTTTTTGTTTTGGGTTCCCCCCCCCACCCCCTTTGGTTTTTCGAGACAGAGTTTCTCTGTGTAGCTTTGGAGCCTTTCTTGGAACTCACTTGGTAGCCCAGGCTGGCCTCGAACTCACAGAGATCCGCCTGCCTCTGCCTCCCGAGTGCTGGGATTAAAGGCGTGCAACACCACCACCCGGCTTATTTTGTTGTTTTTAAGGACGAAGAACATTAATTTTCTTTTGTTGTCCTTTTATATTAAAGAAATCCATGCCATTGTGAGCCTTAGAAAATCCTTTTACTCCGAGAGCTTTACCTGTCGAGTGTGTCTTATGCTGTGTTCAGCTAGAGTCCCTGGTTCAGCATCCCATGCTGCGTGGTGACCTGATAAGAGCCATTGGCTTGTATCGTACACTAGGGTGGCTTCACCAAGGGAGGAGACTTGGGGCTCTAGTCCAAAGCCCTCACAGAGATAATGGATCTTTGTACCGGAGGAGCAAGAGATGGGGATGTGGTCCCAGTGACTATCTTGAAGAGGAGGTGTCTGAGTAGTTGGTGTGGCCAGGCTTAGGGTGGTCATAGCGCAGTGATGGGAAGAGGGAAGAATGGGGTAACGGCAGGGTCGCCAGCCCTCACTGCACAGGAAACACCACAGAAGCCAGGCATGCAGAACACTTCTAGAAAGCTGGCCAGAGCCCGCACACCTCTGAGTAGGGGACAAGGCAACGGAATTCACCTGCTGGCCCCTCCTGGCCCTGGCGCTCTCTGCAGGGCATCTGTTCCCACACAGCTCTGCCTCTTATGGCCTGGCCACAACATCCTTGAGGGAGCTGCTTGTGAGGTGAGAGCCAGGCCCACATTTCATTCATTCAGCTCTCCCCTGGGGGGCACATGAAAACACACAGGCCCACATTTCATTCATTCAGCTCTCCCCTGGGGGGCACATGAAAACACACAGGCCCACATTTCATTCATTCAGCTTTCCCTGCGGGTCACATGAAAACACACCGGGCCCAGCTGTCTTGCTTTGTTTTTGCTCTTGGATTGTCTGAGACCAGGTGCTTCATCACTTCTGGACACTGAGAAGTCCAAGAGCATGGTGAGGGCCCTCAGGTTCATCACTCCATGACAGAAGGAGGAAGAGGACAGGGCAAGACTGAGAGAAGAGAGAAGAGGGGTCTGAGCTCTATGGCATTCATTCATTTGTTCATTCATTCATTCATTCAGGAAGGCAGAGCCCTTGCAACTTAAACACCACTTGCTAGGCCCCTCTCCATGCCATTGAACTGGAGACAACCCTGCCAACAGGTGGACTCTGGGGGACACACTCAAGCCATCGGAACAGTGCTCATCCAGAAGAAATGGTTACAGCGGCCGATGCTGGAGACTTGGCTCCATGATAACCTAGGAGTTGGGAGTGAAAAGCACAATTACTTCCTTGCCATTCTGTCACAGCCCCAACCCCACTCGACCTCCAAATGCTATTTATAACACACTCCTTTCCCTACATTGGCATTACATTTGGCAGAAGATAACTATAAAAATGGGAAGTCCCAGGGAAATTGGAGGGGAAGGGGTTCAAATGTCCTCACTTTGCAGAAGACCCCACCCCACTTCTCTTCAATGTTTAAATACTCACGTTGTGACCCCGTGAAAGTCACTTATCCCCTCCGAGCAACTGTGACAATTTCATGAGACCCAGTGTATTATGTATGATGTAGGAGTCAGTGAAATCACCATAGCAACAGCACTTGTCAGTGAAATCACCATAGCAACAGCACTTGTCAGTGAAATCACCATAGCAACAGCACTTGTCAGTGAAATCACCATAGCAACAGCACTTTTGCACTCCTGTGCACTGAACACACTCGGGCTGTTCTGCCTCCCCCCATGCCTCCTGCACCACCGTGCACTGGTCCTCTCCAGTGACTCCGCCTCCTTTCTCTGACCCTCTTAAGCTTAGCTCCAGATGTGTTTCCAGTAGCCCTCCCACCACTTCTGGCCCCTAAACTCAAGCCTAATTCTGCCCTCCTCTGCCCCTTGGAATCCCCTAGCCCTCGAGCGGTCTGCTCTTGGCACCATCTTAAGGGGAATAATCTTAACTACAATGGCTTGCCAGGACCGTAATTCCATAATAGGATCCTTCCCTGGCCACACTGAGCAATGTCTCCACACGTACCAACGTGCCGGGAAGGAGAAGGGCTTGCCTGGGAAGGGCTGCTCCAGCTGTCCTTGAGATTCTGCTACGATGACATGAAAAGAAAACAGGAGGGCTTTTCCACGGCTTCTGTGGATGCCCTCTCCCACCCAGGCTCACTTTCACCTCACCGTGACCTTCCTACCTCACAGTGAGGTAGAAGAGCATCTTCTGTTTTTCCAGAATAAGCAGAAATTCAAAAAGCCCAGCAAGTTGCTCTGGGCTAATTCTATGGCCGGTGTGAGGCCAGCCAAAACTAGGAACTGTGTCTTCTGGTTCCAAGTTGTTTCCTGTCACTCTTCTGCCCTTTGTTTTGGCATGTTTTTGTTCCCTTTGTTCTTGCTTTTCACAGGAATGCACACGCCTGTGCTCTTGGGATGCTGTTTACTTAACTCACCAAGAAACTCAGTCACAGAATCCTGAAGCCTTGAGTGACCCATCAAGTCCGTAAGGCCACTTTCTACTTCGAGGTGAGTGGAGGCCAAACTGACCTTCCTCGATGGCCAGAGGGGCCTTTGTGAGCCACGGCCTGCTCCAGAGTCAGAAGGAAGGTACAGAGTTTGCCTTCCACTGATCTCAAGCCATGGGCTCTCTTTGTGGTAGGGACATCTCCATTCCCTTAGGCACATTGGCCTTAGTGACCATAGGTTATTCCCTTGAGGATGTTGTATGTCCGGTTTTGAACTGGGGGATGGGAATGGAGTAAGCAGAGACCAGGGAGCCATTAAAGGGGCTGTTATGCAGAATTCCAGAGGAGAATCAGAGGTAAACTGAGACAGAACGTGACTGTGTAACATGAACTCACCCCTCTTGTTCCTGACCCAGAGGGAAGCTTAGTCCGGTGTGTTCTGCTTGCTGGTGGATTTGGAGTTAATGGAGAGGGACCGGCCATATGTGACTGAATGACTAAGATAGGGCAGGGACCACCCACGTAGAGGTTGTACTGTGAACTTCTCACTAGACAAGGGGCTGATGGAGGGGTCTAAGTCAGCAAGACAGGGCTTTCTTGAGCTGTAGAGACATGTCTATCAAGAAGCCCTGTGTCCTAGTCAGGGTTTTTATTGCTGTGATGAAACATCATGGCTAAAGCAAGTTAGGGAGGAAAAGGTTTATTTGGCTTACACTTCCACATTGCTGTTCATCACTGAAGGAAGTCAGGACAGGAACTCAAGCGGGGCAGGAACCTGGAGGCAGGAGCTGATGCAGAGGCCATGGAGGAGTGCTGCTCACTGCCTTGTTCCTTCTTGCTCAGCCTGCTTTCTTACAGAGCCCAGGACCACCAGCCCAGGGATAGCACCACCCACAGTGGGCTGGGCCCTCCCCCATTAATCACCGATTAAGAAAATGCCCTGCAGGCTTGCCTACAACCCTGTCTTATGAAGACATTTTTCTCAATCTTCTCAGGTGTCGTTAGCTTGTGTCAAGTTGACATAAAACTAGCCAGCCCACCCTGCTTAGCGTCCATTCTTCTTTTCATTCAAAAGCAAGTCTATTTCCTTTATTGTTGTTCAAGTTAAGTACATTTGTCAATGTCTGGAAATTTAACTCATAAAATCTAGAACTCCAGAAAAGGAGTTATCAGTGGGGAAAAAGAAGAATATGACCAGAGTCCAGGGAAACTGTGGACCAAGCAGTCTGGGGAAATGAATTACATTACAGACGCTGGGACTGCGGCCAGAGGAAGGAGCTATTGCTCTGCCTAAGAGACAATGAACATTTCCCCTGGGCAAAACAGAAAACCGTGTCAGCAAAGTCAAAAATACCCGGCCTCTCCAGGGCTGTGAATTTGGATGCTGATCGGCACCCAGCTGAAGCCACCAACCCTGAGCAACATGGCATTCATCATTAAGTAGTCCAAAGTTGTCCAGCACAATTCCGTATCCTCAGCCCCTCTGATCTCACCTGGAAGCCCATCTCCTGTCTCTGTGCCAAGGACGCTCCCACCTTTGACAGAGACCTAGCCTGTGCCCATCGTCTTAGGGAAGGTCTTTTTGTCTACGCTACTCACGCCTTGTGGCTCAGCTAGAAAACACGCCCAGCATCACCCATAAACATTGACGAGAAACTTTCGTTTTTATCAGCTGCCATTTAGATTTCAGAGTGCATTTTACGTCTCATTTCACTCGACATCTGAGAAAATTGTTGCATGCCAGCTGAGCTGTAAGATGGACTTGCCTGCAATAATAGGACACAGCTTAGCAAAGATAACAAGGTCGGCTGGCTGGTGCTCCGTGTTCTGCATGCTGGAGCCACTGGGCTGGTTCAGGATCAACTCTCTGTTTTCCCAAGGACTGTCAGATTGTCACCAGAGATCAAGCCCATGTTTTGTGACAGTTCATCAACAAGGAAACCCACAGACGCCTATGAAATGAATGGATTCAAAGAGGCAAAGTGATATTTGTGACGAATCCCAGACAGACAACTTTGCGTTGAACCATTAGCCTAAGTTCAGTATTTTTATCTCTTCCCAGATGGGCCTAGAATTTTTTCCTGTATGGTGGGGAAGGTTTTGTTTAGAAAATGTTTGTTAAGATCTCTGGCCTTGTGCCAATTAGAACAAGTTAGATAGATGCGCTACAGTAACAAACATCCCCCAGTCCGAGGATGAATGTAACAAGTTTAATTCGTTTTAGTTCATATCAGATCTTCTACGGGTTCAGACAGCTCTTCAGGGCAACTTTCGTTGTGCATTGACTCAGTATCCTAATTGTTCCTAATGCTTTCTGAGGACACACCTCCATGGATGCCACAGCAGAAGAGCAGTGAAGTGCTTCCCTCTAGAGATGACATGTGACATATTTAATTTGCAAAGGTCAGTCCCCTGGCCACACTGAACTCTAGGTCAGCAGGCGTGTCAGTTACTGAGTCCTGTAAAACAAGCTACCATCAAACTTGCACTTTGGACAACACAATTTCTGATTTTGCGTGATTCCGTGTCTCGGCTGGACGGCTTTTGCTGGTTTTTCCTAGGCTCACTTAGATAGCTGTATTTGGCTGGAGAATTGATGGTTTGGTTGGCCTGGAAAGACCACAGGGCCCTTGTTCACGTGTGCAGCCATTGCTGATGACTGTTGCCTGGGAACCTAAGTGGCTTCTCACCCTCTAGCAGGCCCAGTTCACGTCCTTACACAAAGGTCCCAGGACAGTGTTCCAAAAGGACAAAGATAAAAGCTGTAGAATTTCTTAGGCCCAGGCTCCAGAATTTATACAACACTGCCATGTTTTATCAGCCAAGGCTAGTAGCAAATCCAGCCCAAGTTCAAGGTTTGCGGAAACTATTTCCTAGTGTAGGTACATGTATCATAGCCATGTTTTCACCTATTATATCAAGCATGTGCACAACTAATTCCTGCTACTTATACCCTGCCAAGGAAACCATGAACTCAGAATTAAATAATGCCAAGTCATGCTTCTGGAGAAACAGGGTGTGTTCCTGCAAGCCTCGGGCACAAAACCACCAGAAGCTAATCAGCTCTCGACCTTGTTTTATGTCTATTTAAGGCTGTCTTATCTTATCTAATAAGTCTCTATAAACGTTGAACTCACAACCAACTCACAGCCCACAGTGTATTCAGCCCACTGAAATCTCACCCCATCAGAGCTTACCTATACGTATTTCCTCAAAGGGAGCATTTATGAGACAAGGAGCATCAACAATAAGTGTTATGTCAGTAGAGACACTACACTTGTTAACAATGCAAGAGCCGAGGCAAGATGGCAGCGTATCGCTTTGCTGTATACACCGCTGTGTGTCTACGGCTCAAATTGTTTGCCACTCTGCATTTCCCCAGATGGCTGCACAAGCAATGTGAGTCCTAGGGATTGATTTGGAGATTGCACATTAATTTTTACAAAGAGATAAGTCCACAAATACAGAGCCCCAAAATAATAAGAATCAGTTGTACAGGGAAAACAGATAATGGTGAGGAATATGACATATTTTCTTTCTTTGCTTGTCTTAGTCATCTTCGGTTGAAAGTTGACATTTTATATAATGTGACAATTCTGAAAGTCCTGTAATCTAATTCTCCACCCACCTTGGGTTCGCTCTGATGTTTGCTATTATTTCGTCACTGTTCTGAGCCAGGATGTATTCCCTCTCTTCCTCTCCTTCTCCCATTCCTTCTCTCACTGTCTCTTTCTGTCTCTACCCCTCCCTGAGACCCCTTAGAATTGAACCCAGAACCTCAAACATGCTAGACAAATGCTCTGTATCGCCAGCACCTACCTGAACCCAATTTCTTTGTCTTGCATGTCCACTCAAGTCTCTGCACAGCTAGCCCACTTGGTGGCATGCTGGTGATTGGATGGAGTTTTTCTTAAATGCTTGGAACCTGCAGGTCTCCTGGTCTTGGTTGTTGGCCTTGTACAAGCACTGGACATGCCATCAACAGAAGCTGGGCCCTGACTGCTCTGCCTTAGATTTCACTTCCTCCCTTTTGGGGGTCTGTATAAAAATGCAGTCTTTGTTTAGGAAGCCCTGAGGCGAGCTAAAAATAAATAAATAAACAAGGCTTTATCACATGTCACATCCATTTCACAGGTGTAGAAACTGAGGTCTCTAAAAGTTTAATAACTGATTCGAGGACACCCAGATAGCATACAGTGATCCTAGGATGCGAACCAGGTGGTCTGACCCCGAAGCCTGTACAGGGAAACACTTTGCCTTGTCGTTGAGGAGGTAGGTTTAGAAAAGTTAAATGACTGGGGGTCACACAGATGGCCAGGGCAGATCTGCCTGGACCCTAAACTCATCCTGTTCTCTACTGTTTGCCCGAGCCACTGACCAGCCACCAGGAGGGAGGACCAAGGGTGGACTTCAAGGTTCAGGTTGAAAATGCCTGGAGAAGGTCTGGACTAAAGCTTCTGGAGAGGTCATCTGAAGGTTATCAAATGAGCAAAATAATAGAGATTCAGAAAATGAGCTTCAGAAAGACACAGGGGCCTGCCTGTGTTTGGAGCAGGATTAGGACCCTGTTAGGTGCGTGCCGTGGAAATTGTTATCACAAGAACAGTATTAAACATTGCATTTCTGCTGAGCATGTTGGCACATGCCTTTAATCCCAGCACTTGGGAGGCAGAGGCAGGTGGATCCCTGTGAGTTGGAGGCCAGCCTGGTCTGTACAGTAAGTCCCAGGCCAGCCAAGACTGGAGAGTGAAAGCCTGTCTCAATAAAAAAAAAAAAAACAAAACAGTAAAAGTTGCATTTGGTGAAGACAAGTCCTTTTCGTTCACTTTTCACTCAGCTCCTGGACCCGAGGCCCCTCCAACCAGTCCGCAGGTCCTCAGCAGACCCTCCCACCCACATGAGGCTCAAGATGGATGAGGCCCGAGTGAAGCCCACATCCAAGGTTCCATGAGCCCACCCACTTCACCCATTTCTCTTTTTCTTTGCTGGTTCTTTTCCTTCACCCCGGATGATCCGAACGCTGATATCCTTGAGAACTTAGCAGGGAGGTGCACATTGTAATCACCAATTCCAGATGAGCTGTCAGTTCAGCTGGGGCTCCCGTTCACGGTGCTCCGAGGACACACTCAAGAGAGGGTGTCAATGGAATTGCAGTTGGCTAAGCAAACAGAAGCACAAACGAAGCCTGCTGACTAATGCGGCGCATTCACAGCCACCCAGAGAGAACCCACTGTTCTCTGTGCAGTCTGAGTTCATTATGAAAAAACAACACCTGATTCCAGCAGCCTGGGTAATTTTAGTTCTATCTAATGGTAGATGTGTAAGGCACTAAACTCATGGTTGGACCTCAGGGCTCCTACAGGGACATGCCATCTGCTCCTTACTTCATAGGTGGGGGCCCCTCAGTGTGGTGGTAAGAGCTCACTCTTCAACCCTGGCACCCCTAAATGACTTCTTCTGATACTCCCATGCTCATGTATTGGCATGCTCACGCACATGCATGAACACATGTGCACACACACACACACACATACACACACACAGAAATGGGGAAGGAGAGAAAGAGAGAGAGCAGATGCCTCTGCCCTTTCCTTAGAACTTTTTCCGGCTTCCACACAGATTTTTCTTTAATGTTATACTTGGAATTTTTCTCTGTCCAGCAAAATTAAGAGATCTTTGAGAAAAGTCAGGTTTCGTTTTTTTATTAGACATTTTATTGAAATTAACATTCCGTAAGATGAATCAGATCAAATTGCAAGAAATTCCAGGAACACAAGCTGCCATCTGGGTTAATGTGAAACTCTTTTCTCCAAATGTAAAAATGCACATGATGTAACAAGTCTTGAGAGTCGAACCCGCTGTCCATTTGTGTTGGGCAGAAATCACTCATTTTGAGGAATTCATGTTAAAAGAACCTTTTGGTGGTTGTCTATTACCATTCCCATATTAATCCGTTTTCCTCAGTTCCCTGTAGTGGGCTACCATTTTGATTTCTCGGTGGCAGGGTCCACTTGAGGTTATGTTGTCCCAGCCCTTTGCTCCATCTTGGCATTCACAAAGGATTTCCTTCATTTTCAAAGATAAAATTCTATTGTTTGTCTTCAAAACGACACCTGGGTAAGGGCTATGCTTATTCAGAACTGCCAGGAACCACAGTAGTTTTAATCTCCTCATAAATTACCAGGGCAGAAAGGGGCTCTCCTGATTCCTGATGCAGCCCTGTCTCAGGTAGGACCCCAAATGTCTTTTTTGTTTGTTTGTTTTTTGAGATAGGGTTTCTCTGTGAAATAACCCTGGCTGTCCTAGAACTCGCTTTGTAGACCAGGCTGGACTCGAACACACAGAGCTCCACCTGCCTCTGCCTCCCGAGTGCTGGGATTAAAGGCGTGCGCCACCACCGCCCAGCCAGATGTTGTATTTTAAAATAGGAATAAACTCAGCTGTAAGAGGTAATATAGAAGATGCCACTGTTCTTCCCAATGACGACACCTTGAAAACCTATAGAACATACAGATCACAAGTCAGGATATTGATGCTGCCACAACACATAGCTGTCAGTCAGGTGTCATGGCGCACACATGCATGTACTTGGTTCTAATTATTTTATCTGTGTCAGACTTTGCGTATCAGAATTTCTTGTTCTTTTCTTATGTTATTTTAGTGACCCGCTTACTGTCCTCTTGGGGATGCCTCTGTCCTCTGGCTCCAACTCCTGCCAATTACTGATCTGTTCTCACTGGCTGTCATGGTATCGTTTCAGGCAGGGATGTCATATAAACCAGCCGTGGTGGCATATGTGTATAATGTCAGCTTCTTGGAAGACTTGAGCCCAGAAGTTTGAGGCTAGCCTGGGCAACACTGTGAAACCCTATCTCAAAAACTAAAAAAATGTCATTCATACACATGAAGAAGTAAAATATGTAACTTTTGGAACTATATGTTGTTATTTCTTGAATTTTTCAGAGTTTCTCCTTTTCATTGCTGAGTAGTATTCCAAGGCTGTACCTTCTAAGGCTTATTTCCAGATTTTCTGTTCCATTTGTCTATGTGTCTATTTTTGTGCCAGAATCACTCTGTTTTTGTTACTATGACTTTGTAGTTTTGTTTGAAGTTAGGTAATGTGATACCTTTAGTCTTTTACTCAGGACTGGTTTGGCTATTTGGGTCTTTTGTGTTTCTGGACAAATATTAGGATTTTTTTTTTCTATTTCTGTGAAGAATGTCATTGGAATTTTGAAGAGGCATATTTAACTACTGAGCCATCTCCAGACTCATCATAAGATATTTTTAATTAATAATTTGAGTTATGGGGCTAGAGGGATGGCTCAGCATTTGTTAAGAGCATGTATTGTTCTTGCAAAGGACCCAGAGTTCAGTCCCGGCATCCATATCAGGTGGCTCACAACTGCCTGGAACCCTAAATCTAGGGCCATAGTTCTCAACCTTTGTGGGTCGAATGATCCTTTTCACAGGGGTCACCTAAGACCATCAGAAAACACAGATATTTACATGTTATGATTCATAACAGTAGCAAAATTACAGTTATGAAGTAGCAACAAAAATAACTTTATGGTTAGGGATCATACTAAAGGGTCACAACGTTATGGAGGTTGAGAACCACTGGTCAAGGGGATCGCTTCTGGCTGTCATGGGCACCTTTACTCACATGCACATAGCCACACACAGACACAGAATTAAAAATTAAAAAAAAAAAGTTTTTTAAAAGTTAAGCTCTGAGGGGACTGGTAGCATATTTTAGTGGACCAGGTTCTTACTTGCCCAACATGTATGAGGTCAAGAGTTCAATTCCCAGTACTGTAATAAATAAATAAAAATCAATCAGTGAGTTAAGCTATGAAGAAAAAGACATGTGGATATTTCTTTTCTGGCTTTACCAGAATGAGAAATCACGAAAGCCAGTTGCCCAGCTCTGATCTGCAGGAAGCTTTGACTCTGGGTAACTTAGGCCCCATGTGTTTAGGAAAGCTAATTAGGAGGCTCAATGTCCCAGGCTCCTATTTGTCTGTGACAGACATCTGACATCCTTAACTGAAAACAAAGACATCTTCTTTTTTAAAAGTAGGGACCTGCTGGGCGGTGGTGGCGCACGCCTTTAATCCCAGCACTCAGGAGGCAGAGCCAGGCGGATCTCTGTGAGTTTGAGGCCAGCCTGGTCTACAGAGCGAGATCCAGGAAAGGCGCAAAGCTACACAGAGAAACCCTGTCTCGAAAAACCAAAAAAAAAAAAAAAAAAAAAAAAAAAAGTAGGGACCCCGTTGCCTGGATACTGCCAGGAACACAAACCACAGGACCTGCCGGGACCTGTAATCTGCCTGTCCTTGTGTCAGCTTCCAGAATGTAACAGGAAAGTGAGAAAGAGCTAACAAACAAGCCATGTCTGCATGGGCTTTCTCTGTTGGTGCTCTGTGTGGTATGTGTGCCCCAGGCAGCTGCATACGTGCACGTATGCACGCACGCACGCACGCAGCAAGCATCTTAGTGTGAAGACCCTGCATCCACCCTCACAGATCACCAGGGAGTTCTAGTATGGTTTATTCAAAGCAGCTTCCATCAAGACTATAAATAGCAGGCATGTGCCTCTGTAAGTACTGCAGCTATTTATTTTTTTAATAGGGGCTCTCGTGTTACAAGGACATCACAGATGGCTGAATAATTTATGTAATGATAGATTGTATGGGCTTCGCTCCCTGCCAGTGAACTCATTCCCAAATGTCTGAAGCAGATAAGGGGAGCAAGAGCCACAGCCTGGGGTTCTGTGAGCTGTCAATTTATTTTTGTTAGGAGCAGTTCGCCACTGGAGCCCTATGTATATTCTTTATTTAATGTTATCGCAGCTACAGAGGTCATATACGCGTCAGGCGGTGCCTTAGTCACATGGAGCCAGCTCATAAAAATGTATACGACACAGCATGAAAAACACCCAGGAGAATAATAAATCGCCTTCTCTATGTTTGGTGGCTTTAACAAAAGACGGAGGTGTGTGGATGTATGTTTGTCTCTAAGAAAATGTAGGGGAAGGAGGGAGTTGGAAAATGGAGATAAGGAAAAATGACCTGGAAGGGGATGTTTCTGGGAGCTTCCATGGCTATTTTTACAGAGACTTGAAGTATAAAAAGCAATCATCTTGTGCTTTATAGATTTACCTTCTGCTACACACACATACACACACACACACATACACACACACACACACACACACACATACACACACACACACACACACACACACACACACACACACGAATCAGGTGAGCAGATGCCACTTGGAAGTTGGGCACACTTTCTTGTCCAATGCAATTTTAATGAAGATGAAATTTCATCAAAAGAAAATGTTTTAAATTTGCAACAGGAAAACGCCCAAAAGGACTCAACGGACCCATGACCCAAGAAGACATTCAGGTGCTCAGTCACTGGTCGAAGCCGCCTGATTTTTTTCACTCACGAAGCAGAGGAGTGCGAATTATACCCACCATGAGACGGCACTGCCCCTGAGCCCTGGAAATGGTCGAGTTTGGCAAAGACAAGAGCTGGGGGGGGACGATGGGAACTGCTGTGGGTGGGAGCTTACGTTGAAGCAAGAATTTGGGAAACACTTGCTCATATAACTGCTAAGGCAGCTGTTCTCAACCTGAGGGTCACGACCCCTTTGGGGTCTCTTAAAACCATTGGAAAACACAGATATTTAACCCAGATATTTACATTACAATTAATAACAGTAGCAAAATTACAGTTATGAAGTAGCCATGAAATAATTTTATGGTTGAGGGTCACCACCACATAAGAACTGTATTAAAGGGTTGCAGCGTTAAGAAGGATGAGAACCACCATCCTAAGACGTGACTACTCCTGTGTCTACTGTAGGGAAAGGCCCTGGAGGTTAGATGAATCTGCATATCCTGGGCAGAAGGTAAACAGAAGAATGATTATGGAAGTGTCTCCTTAAATGCCACAGGCTGGAGACAGTCATGTGCCCGCCAACCCAGAAAAGGGTCAGACTCAGAAGCACTCTCTGTGTGAGCAAAGCTGTGAGATGTAAATACATCAAGTCCCTAAACAAAGCTAAACTCTTCTGTTTAGGCACAAGCATAGGGCTGGGAAGAGAAGCAAGCAGGGAGGTCCCCATACTGAAAGCTGGGGTGCTGGTGGTTTTAAGAGGGAGTGGCTGAGAAGAATGAGCAGGGAGACGTCTGCACACTGCGACTGTTCTGTTTCGTGGCCTGGCTGTGACCGTGCGAGTTTTTATTTTATAATTATCCACTAAACTGAGTGCTTATGTGGAACCCGCTTTTGTATGTGTGTTATATTTCATTTACACAGACCCTTCCTCCTCATCAGACTACCAAACACGAAAAGGTCTGAAACACAAGTTCCTTACTTCAGTTTTAGCGCCTTTCACAAACGCACTTGAGGCATGCAGCACAGCTTGGTGAACATGTAAGGCAACTCAGCAATCACAGTGCGCCTCAGGATTCAGGCTGGGCGAGGGGAGAGAGGAAGAGCAAAGAGCTCTGGCTCATACCGGATGCCTGCTCTGACCTCAGGGGCTAGGCTCCCCGCTACACACCTATGCTCCCCACCCCACACACCTCCACACCCCCACCTCCACACCCCCACCTCCACACACCTCTATGCCCCACCACACCCCTATCCCCACTACACACACACACACACACACACACACACACACACACACACACACACACACATGCTCTCTCTCTGGGAAGCTCTCTGGGCCTCAGCCCTCTCCCATAAAGGGCCCAGGCCTATTTGAGCTCTGTCAAGAATCTACTAATACATTCTTAGGAAACCTTTGTAACAACTTTAACTATTTTTCGAGACAGGGTTTCTCCGTGTAGTTTTGGTACCTGTCCTGGATCTCGCTCTGTACACCAGGCTGGCCTTGAAACTCACAGAGATCAGCCTGACTCTGCCTCCCGAGTGCTGGGATTAAAGGCGTGCCCACCGCCACTCAGCCACAACTTTAAGTTTTTAAAAAATACAAGCTATTTTCAGTGCTGGGGATGTAGCTATGTTGATAGAATGCTTTCCTAGCATGCACAAAATCCTGAGTTCCATCTTCAACATCAACATGGTGGCATATGCCTGTAATCCCAGTACTTTCAGAGGTAGAGGCAGGGGGATCAGAAGTTCAGTGCTATCCTTGGATAGCCTGGGATACACAAGACCCTGTCTCAAAAACAAAAAGTTATTTTCCTTTTGTCAAGAATCTAAATTCTTCTGAGCTGATTCTGGGGTCAGAGGTCCACCCCAAAGCTAACCACTTAATATTTATGATCCAGCTGGGAACTGGATGTGCTATTTCAGCTGCCTCAAGCCAAGAAGAAAACACAGGTGACCTTAGCAAGCAGAATGTGTGTTCTCCACAGGACTTTGGAGAAATAATATCACATGATATTTCAGTCCTGGGACAATACAGACAGTCCAAATAATCAGGCTGGTACCCAAGTACAGAGTAAACGGCACCATCACGAAACCTCATTGTATCGTTACGTGAGTTGGATTGCTATTACATTTGGTTTGTCGTGATTGGGTTTAGTTTGGGTTTATAGCTGTAGAAAAGTCACAAGCCTATGGGAAGTATGCCAGTTTTATGAGTGTCATATTTAACTAAGGATCTTAGGAAAATGCATCAACACTGGGAATCCTTGAAATACCTGGAAAGATGCCACATGTCACTCACATCTTAGCCACACTGAATTCCCTGACCCCTGCTGACCCTCCTGTAATTATATTTCCATTTTGGAAGCTGAACCCTCTCCAAAGCCAGTGGCAGGGGCATTGTTGAGCTGTCAGGACTCCCAAACCCCTCCTTTGCATCAGGGACTCTTTTCTGGCAGAGCCTTTCAGTTGATTCGAGTGGAAGGAGCAGCTGGCCAGTCAGCAGAGGCTGGAGGTCCTGCCAGATGTGCCAGGATGCTAAGGGCACCCTCTCCTGCAGACAAGCATCTGGCCCATGTACCTAGGCTGAGAACCCCTGATTCTGTGCTCAACCTTCATGAGAAAATCTACATCGGCTCCCAGTTAATCAATGGAGACAGATTTCTCTTTTAGGGTTTGATCTTCTTAGCACCTCTTTACTTTAATGCAACAGATTAGATCAAACAAGTTCCCCAAATCCCTCACCCATGAGGTTAAGGCTGGAATTAGGGGTGACATCAAGCCAGTCTCCCTCTTCTTGAGGCAGGGTCTCCTATATCCAAGCTTTGAACTCACTAAGGATTTAAGGGTGGTTTTGAACTCTCGATCTTATTGCCACTTCCTGAGTTTTGGGATTATGGGCATGTGCTACCCACTTGGTTTATCCTGTGATCAGATTGGATCCAGGGCTTCATGCATGCTGGGCCAACACTACCAATTGAGCTGCATCCCCAGCCCAGTTCACTGTTTTGGCTTTTGAAGTGAGTGAGGCTATTCCTGGGTCTTCTCTACATACAGAATGACTTCTCTATCTTGTGAGTATATACCTGATGTTTGCAGCTGGTCACTTCAATGGATATGCTCCACGACCACCAGAATAAACCATCAAAACCATTTAACAAAAACATCGACTAGATGGGCATGACTTAGAAGAGCTGAAGCATCTGTATGAACCTCTAAGGTTTACCTAAAGGCCCAGATAGCTGTGTTTGTCCATGAGGCTGCCGGGGGCTTCTGGTTGTCTCTTTGCAACCTTTGTGTGTGGTTTCTATGCAGTAGGTGACAGCATAATTCTAAATTATGGTAAAAATTATGGTAAATGGTAAAAATGGCTCAGAGAGCATTGTGGACAGTGACTTCCTAGACATACTCTGTGTTCTCCAGCTCTTCCTCTCGGTCACCACAGTCCATTCACAGCCGCTTCCCTCTCTCTTTGAAGCATTAGAATCCATGGTTTCTCCCTGAAAACAGAGCAGCCCTCCATCTCCAAAACCAGAAAAAAAAAAAAAAGTATACTCTTACTCAGTGGGTCAGGAGGGCTGCCTGGGGTGACGATCCCTGAAGTCGGAGATCTGTGTACTTCTCCCTGCCCCTCATCATCCCGTGAGAGTCAAGGATTTCTCTGGATGACATTTCACCCACCCTGACAGCCATTGATAACAGGACAGCAGCTGGCCCTTGACATCTTAAGATCATGCCCAGGCTTCCTCTGCAGCACAGGTCCTGAACTCTCTCTCTCTCTCTCTCTCTCTCTCTCTCTCTCTCTCTGTGTGTGTGTGTGTGTGTGTGTGTGTGTGTGTGTGTGTGCGTGCGTGCGTGCGTGCGTGCGTGTGTGTGTGTGTGTGTGTGTGTGTGTGTGAGAGAGAGAGAGACAGAGACAGAGACAGAGTCCTATGTCTTTAAAGCTGCACAGTTATCACAGCGTGTGGCAGATAGGGAGCCTGTTCATTAGTCTGGACTTTAGGGGCTACTGAGCGTCCACATGCCTGAAGCTGCTGGGGCAGAAAGCCTCGAGAGTCTCAGGCACTTCTCAGCACACACAGATGCCAACCTCTTCTCCCTTCAGACTTCTGGTTGGTAGTGCCCACCCCAAACCCACAGTTGATGAGGCAGCTTCCTCCTCTAGGTTCTGGGGTCTAGCCCAATGGAGGATTGCATGACGTCCTAGGAGCAAGTGTATGGCTTGCAGCAGCTCCCTGGAGTAAGAACTCGAAGCGGGCTAAGGAAGAAAGTAGGATAGAATGAAGCCAGGCCACGAGGAGGCGGGCTGGGGGCCAGGGTCGGAAGTGCGCATGGTAAGCCGGTAGATACTTGCTAACCGGAGCGCCAGGATGAGGCTGGCACTGATAGAATCCTGGGGAATGTCACTTCCTAACAGTAAGAGAATTGGGCGAACCAAGCCAAGTGTGGTGGCTTGTGCCTGTAATCCCTGCAGGAGGATTGCCATGAGTTTAAGGCTGACCAAAAAAAAAACAAAAAAACAAAAGAGTGAGCGGTTGAGCCTCAGCAATCCCTCAGGTCCATTTTAGGCTTAAAATTCATGATGTTCGGACTGCATTGGAAGAAGCAAGTAAATAACTGTGGCTGTTCTCCCAACTTACCATACGGCCATGCTCTGGAGCTCAGTTGATGACCCAAGCAAGAGGCAAGCCAGCCCCCAACCCTGCTCCGGCATAAGGCAAGTTTCTGCCTGCCTGTGTGGAGGAAACAGCTAAGCTTTTCTACACTGCCGACTAGCCACAACCTACTTTAGCTTCCCAGGAGCACATGCAAGACCATCATGGCTGCCCCTTCCCATCTTGCACCTGTGGGAATTTGAATGCCTGTACTGCTTGCTGGCCAGTTCAGGGGCTGAAAACCTTTCAGACTCTTAGACTCTTTGTTCCCTTGGCAACCAGTTCCCTCCCACCCTCCCACCCCACAGGCAAAACTTTTTTTCATTCTGCCCCTGTGGGTGGGCCCTGCCCCTGCAGGAGGGGCCCCACAGGGGTTGCCGTTTGGGGCAGGGTAGAGGTTTGGGAGGTTTTCCGTGGCCCTGTGGGATGGGATACAGTCAGGAACTGGAGCTCCCCTTTGCCCGTATCTCCCACCCTCGCGACTGCTAGCTTTTGTTCTTGTCAGGGCCCATTAGTTCTCTGAACAGAGGTTGAACAAGGAAAATGAAAGGAGAGAAACGGGGAAGCAAATCCCTCTAGTAAAAGATCTGGTAGGGAAGGAAGTTAAACCCGATCATGACGAGATTTCAATTATCCCACCCACTGGCCTCTTGCTGGTGCATAGCCAGGGACCAGAATTAAATGCCGCATGGAAACATTGAAACACATCGTTTGTCCGCTACGGAGTTAGTTATTGGTCTTCAATTTGAAAGCATTTGAATCCGGGGTCAGGATGCTACACTGGGGCGCGTTCACTGGGGGACAGCAAGACCAGGGTGTGAGTGGGCGCTCTGGGCTGAGTGTGGATCCTTCCGGCACCATGGAGATATAAACGGTTGGGCTGCGGGCTTGGAGACCATACAAGAGGCAAAGAAGCATCCCCCACATCACTCCCTGGAAGAACGCCAGAGTCTTGATGTCTGGGCCAGAGGAATTACTGAGCTTTATAGGAACATCAAGGAACAGATCTGAGCCGTGGGAAGAGGCCAAACAGTAAAGGCCCAAGTGCCCCTCTGGCAACAAAGGTGGGCCGCGCTGCCAGGAACACCAGGTCCAGTGTCCTTTGCGCTCTCCTCTCCACCTCCCTTGTTCTTCCTCCTCACCGCACTGCCAGTCAAAACAAGATGCTGATGCTCATCATGGGGATGAGCTGCATAGTTATAGAATCCCAA